TCTCTCTGGCAGACGCCGCCTGCCTCGACCCAGCAAAGAGCAAAACGGGAAGGGCGGGTCGGGACGCCGCTTGTCTGATATTGCTCGAGGGGGTTGCGAAATGGAGAGGAGAGGGGAGGGATGGAGGAGGGATGGGGGTCACAGAGGTTGAACGAGAAATTAATGGGCCAATAAATATAAAAAAGAGGCTAATGGGTTTTGTAGAGGAAAAGCTCGAGATTCGTGACGAAAACACTGAATATTGAAAACTGATCTTTGCGTTTCTATCTCAGTTGGGGGAGCGCTAGCGAAGCCCATGTAGTCCACTGACGAATAATGTTCTATTCAGCCTGTATGTATGTTTCTTGGTATTTACAATAAATCAATAGCAATTCAGCCAGCGATCAGAAAAAAAAAATATCCCGGTCGTTTCGTACAGTTCAAGTTCCAGAAGAACATTCTAGCTCAAAAATTTACCCCCTTAAAAAGGCAAAATAGGTGAAACGTGGTCTAGAGTGTGTGACAAAATGCTGCGCTGTTAAGAACAATGAGAATCATGAGAATCATGAGAATCGTGAGTAGCGTTAATGGTTCGGTTGAAAATTACAAGAGGGCACAACACTTCCAAGTTGGAGTAGAGAGCAAAAATATGCCCTATTTAGCGTTAGACCACTAATCGGTTGATTACAACGGAGAGCTGTTGAAAGTTAAGACTGACGGCAGCAGCCACAAGCAGCTGGGGGACATGATGGAAAGGTTAATTTTAAGTTTACCATAAACAAATCTGCAGAGACACAAAGTCTATTCGGAACTGGGGGAAAGGGAAAGGAGTGACATTGTAGAGCGATATGAGGAGGACTAATTGAGATCGGGGTTTCCCAACCCCCCGGCAAAGACGAAAGAAACTTTGAGCTATGAAAGGAGAAAAGAGGATATAATCTGACTTGCCCTGGCCGGCAAAGGATACGACCCAGGCGGTGTGAATAAAACACTGCCATTGGGCGTCAGCGGATTGCCATAGACGGCTTAAAATCTGAGCATCACCATTTAAATTCTTCTATATGAAACAGAGGCCTTCAAAAATTTCACTCGTGATTATTCATTAAATGCTATCAAATCTATTTCTTCCACTTCGAGTGAACACTTTTTTTGCTGACTCCATGGTATCCTGTCGATTTGCCGTTCGCGGTGCCTCCACAGCAAGCCCTACCGCGCTCCTTCACGCCTCGCCTCGCGCGGGCATCCATCATTGTGGTTGCGAATCAGGGGGTTCGTTTGCGGGCCTGCTGGGGTCGAGATTGGACCGGGCCGAGCAGCGGCGGGGTAGAGTGTGGCCATCCAACAAGGCCGGCTGAAAAAGAGGATTAATTCGCAGCAGGTAGTCGCGGGACAGTGGCAGGTCCACACAGCAGCAACCAATCTAGATTTTGCGTTTTCTAAAGATTAATTTAGGACTGTCGAAAGAGAGGGAATCAAGCAGCTCCGTCACTCTATCACTCGATTGCTGCCGGGGAGAGGGGAAGCGGCTTCGTGTATCGCCTCGATCGTTCTGTCCACGCCGACGCGCTACGCCGCGTTCGTACTATGGATGGCTGTGGCCACAGTGGTAACCCCATTGTTCGTAGGCTCAGTGTTGCAGGCAGAAGTGGGGTGGGGTTGGGGGCTCCCCGTTCTCTCTACAGGAAAACGGGCCACGAGGACAAGTAAGCCTCTGGCAGCGCAGGGACAGGCCAGGGTCTGCGGGTCACTGGGTACGCTGCGCGTGGTGGCAGAGGGGCAGGCAGGCCGGCCAACTTCTCTCATTGTTTTACGTTTATCAGATTCAGCGAACCGCAACCAGGCAAATGGAGAAAAAAGCTGCAGCCGCAGCTGGGAGAAACCACGTCTCGCCCTTCCATATAAACGACGAGTTACGTAAACGTGGCAACCATGGGATAGGAGGTTACCCTACATGGCATGTCACTATGTGCTGCGAGAAACATTTTCATTTACAACTATTTCATGCACCTTCAAAAGACGTAATCCTGAATCAGCTGACAAAAATCGCCCATGTTAACTGAAGTTCAAATAATTGAACAATGTGTCTTTACAATGTTCTTTTGGTGATCTCCGTTCAATCCAAGAGTTCAACTAGACAGTTTTGTTTTAGAGAAATCTACATTTGAGATGTTAACTAATTGTTATAATCTTATACATGCTTCAGGGTTGAGGCAGAAAATTTGAGAAAACTCTCCTAGAATTTAGCTCCATTAAATCGGCTAGACTGGGCTACACTACAAACGCAACGCTGTTCTTAGTACACACTTAAATGTACGTACTATGGCAAGTAATCGAGGCGGAAACGACTGTTAAAATTTGTGTCAGCCGGATTACGGATTACCCGGATTACCTCCGGAGTGTCTTCCGGATTACGTTGCCTTTTCTCTAGGATTACCCCGGATTACCCCAAAATTTTCCTGGATTACCCCAAAATTTGCCCGGATTACCCCGGGTTTTTTAGAATTTTCTCGGATTACCCCTGCCGGATTACCTAACGGCTGTCAGCCGGATTACCTTAGTCGTTTCCCCCTCGCAAGTAATGATAAGTACACTCTTCCCTGTGTGTACGAAATACACTGTTGGGTTCGCAGGAAGGTGACTATAGCTAGATGTAACAAAGATGGCACCTCATTCAAAATTGTCATTGTTCATTTTGTCACCAGGTTGCATTTCACAGAGTGCTGCTTGTTAGGAGATCCGGCCCTTGTCTAGCTGAAAGCCTTGTTGGCTTCGGGCAAGGTCACATCTAATTGAAAACTCGTCTGGGCTAACTTAGGTTATTACACCTGAAACCAGGGTCCACCCTCTGAGCCAATGAGGGGAGCGAGAGAGTGGTGGCGGAAGCGACGGAGAGCGAGGCAGCTTAGGAGCGGGCGAGGAAGACGCATATTGATGACTTTGACGATTCAAGTTGGTCCGAAAGACTTTGCAAGAGGCGGCCAGGCGAGAGGAAGCTTTCTCAGTAACAGGCTTCGTTTGTTTTCACTTCGATAACAAATTGCCCAGACCGAACAAGGCCCCCTTTCTCAATAAGCCGCGGTGGGAGACGCTTGGGCCAGCGTTGGCTGTAAGTCATTGGCTTGTCGGCCGACAGTCAGCCTGGCAGGCGGGACGGCCGCGCGCACTAATGCGGCCCCGGCAGCCCTCACGCGAGCTGCACCGACCTGCTAGCAACAAGTACACTAAAACTCAAATTAGAATAAAGACATGTCATTTTTCCAACTCTCTACCTACGCACTTTCCGAATATTGTGAGTCACCGTAAGCGGTAGGCGAAGCGGGTCTATTCAAATAAGGTACTTGGTGGATGTATACCCCAGCGCACTCCTGTAGTTACCTACTCGCTCGGCCTGGTCCATGGTAAGGGAAGATAGGCGGGCCCATCCACATGACTACGGGTGAAACAGTATAACCACTCAAGAGCGCGAGGCTAATCACCCACCACGTATGTTAAAGACGGTAAGATGCCAAACAACAAGTATGTCATTATACACAGAAGTGCCACAGTCACATGTTTTAATGTAGAGTACTCGTGAGTACTGCAACTCTACTACATATTTTGTGTTCAATTCCAACTCCATTCGAATACTTCCTGTTGCGGTAGAGGTGGTGAATGTGTTTATCAACGAAGAAATAAACAAGAGAAATAACATGGAAAATAGATGGGACGAACACAAGAGAACAAAGAAATACAATGGCAGCCGGGAGATTGCGTGATCGAGGTGCAGCGGGGCCTCTGTCCACAAAGAGCGCTCCCCGCCGCGTGGGCTGATCACAGATAGGTTTTGACAGACCCCTTGATAGGTATTGCTACCCGCAACTTCTGCGGCACGTGGTTTTCACATATAAATACATGCA